GAGAGTCTTGTGGATTTGGAGCGTTGAGGCCTTGAGGGCCTGAGCAAAGGTGGCATTGAGTGGGGCTAAGGGTGGGGCGGTCGGTACACAAAAACAGTGATGGCTGACGTGTTTGAATGCATACCAGTTAGTGGTTCTTGTTATATTGATTAATTTGTTTAATCCTTACAGTCACCCACGAGATAGGACTTTGAGCCCAGAGAGATGAAGTCATTTGCTCAAGACAGCGGTCAGTGGAAGGGCTTGGAGAAGGCGAAGGGGTCTGAAGGTGGCTTGGGACACATGAGACTGATCTAGCAGCTTGGTTTGCTGTAGCAGACTTGGACAAACATTGCTTCAGTGCCTGGTTTGTCCCTCCACTTGATGGGGGCCATCTAAAGGCCGTGGCCTGAGAACCACCGCTCTCCCAGCCTGTCTCCTCCATTTTATTGTCTTCTGGGAACCTCTTCCTCTTCCTTCTGCCTAGCACCTGTTTGCACTGGGATTGTCCTATCTGTCCTTCAGTTGGATCCTGGTTTGCACTGGATGAGGATTCAGCAATTTTAGGCCGTGCTTCAGCAAAGGCCAATTCACATTATGGAGGTTGATTTGCTTATACTTTTTTTTAAAAGCCTAAATTAAAAAAAAAAAAAATCTGCCAAAATCTCAATTTAGTAAAAGCTTAAGATTTTTGTCCAGAAACCTAAATAGAATGATTTTAAGAATGTTGTTATCATCTCTGAGAGTTCTTTTTTCTCAAGAAATAAGCCTGGCCAGGCATAGTGGCTCATACCTGTAATCCCAGCACTGTAGGAGGCCAAGGCAGGAGGATTGCTTGAACTCAAAAGTTCAAGGCCAGCCTGGGCAACATGGTGAAGCCCCACCTCTATAAAAAATAGAAAAAGTTAGCTGAGTGTGGTGGTGTGCGCCTGTAGTCCCAGCTACCCAGGCGGCTGAGGCGGGCAGATCACTTGAGCCTGGGAGAAAAAAGGAAATAAGCCTATGTTGTTCTTTTTCTTTTAGGAATCTCTAAGTTGAAAGAAAAAGTTACACTCTCAAAACCTATTTATGCCTAGTGTTCCATTATTGGAACACTAAGCATGTGGGAGTTATTTATATCCTACTGCTCAAGGTAATTGCAAAGGTCTGATTTTTCATGCATGTCTGCCTCCTGAGGGTACATGTTATCACATGGTGCACAGAGTTAGTCACTACTGCAGATACTGGCATGCTGGGAGTCTATCAAAAAGTGATGGGAGTTTTTGGAAACATTTTTGAGGAAGTATCCAAAGACAGGTACATAAAACTTCACTGCACTATATCCTACACTAGTAATTAAAAAAAAAAAAAAAAAAAAAAAACAAACCTTCTCTACTAGTTATGCTATTGTTCTGTAAAAAGAAAATGCAGAAATTATTATTGTTGCATTAATTACAGGTTTGACAGTTTTCATGTTCCATTTTTGGAACACTAGGCAAAACCACTACTGCTAGGACTAATAATACCTTTTTTCCATTTTAGTCCCAAGATGCCTCGAACTCTAAGTTTACATGAAATAACTGACCTTTTAGAGACAGATGACAAGATAGAAGCAAGTGCTATAGTGATACAACCACCTGAAAATGCTACAGCACCTGTTTCTGATGAGGACTCAGGAGATGAAGAAGGTGGAACAATAAATAATCTGCCAGGTTCTTTGTTGTGCACAGCTGCGTATCTTATTGAAGATGGCTCTGATGCTGAGTCTGACTCAGATGATCCCTCATACACACCTAAAGATGACTCTCCTGATGAAGTTCCATCTACATCTACTGTGCGGCAACCTCCACCATCAAGGAGGAGGAAAATGACAAAAATTGTTTGCAAATGGAAAAAAGCTGACTTAACTGTACAGCCTGTAGCAGGTAGAGTTACAGCACCACCAAACGATTTCTTCACCAAAATGAGAACTCCCACAGAAATTCTTGAACTTTTTCTTGATGATGAGATCATTGAACTCATTGTCAAGTATTCCAACCTATATGCTCGCAGTAAAGGTGTACATCTTGGCTTGACTAGCTCTGAATTCAAATGTTTTCTGGGAATTATTTTTCTGAGTGGTTACGTCTCAGTTCCTAGAAGGCGTATGTTTTGGGAACAAAGAACAGATGTGCATAATATACTGGTTAGTGCTGCCATGAGACGTGACCGCTTTGAAACTATATTTTCTAATTTACATGTTGCTGATAATGCAAATTTGGATCCAGGGGACAAGTTTTCCAAGTTGCGACCTCTTATAAGCAAACTCAATGAAAGATGTATGAAGTTTGTTCCAAATGAAACACATTTCAGCTTTGATGAATTCATGGTTCCTTATTTTGGTCGTCATGGGTGCAAACACTTTATTCGGGGAAAGCCCATTCGGTTTGGCTATAAGTTTTGGTGTGGTGCCACATGTCTGGGCTACATTTGCTGGTTTCAGCCATATCAGGGTAAAAACCCAAATACTAAACATGAGGAATATGGTATTGGTGCGTCAGTTGTCCTTCAGTTTAGTGAGGCACTTACAGAAGCACATCCCGGACAATACCATTTTGTATTCAATAACTTTTTCACCAGTATTGCACTTCTTGATAAGCTCAGTTCAATGGGACATCAGGCAACAGGTACAGTGAGAAAGGATCGCATTGACAAAGCTCCATTGGAATCAGATGTAGCTTTAAAGAAAAAAGAAAGAGGCACATTCGATTATCGAATTGATGGCAAAGGCAATATTGTCTGCAGATGGAATGATAACAGTGTTGTCACTGTTGCCTCATCTGGTGCTGGTATCCATCCTCTGTGTCTTGTCAATCGTTATTCCCAGAAACTGAAAAAGAAGATCCAAGTTCAGCAGCCAAACATGATCAAAGTGTATAACCAGTTCATGGGAGGCGTAGACAGAGCTGATGAAAATATTGATAAGTATCGGGCGTCAATCCGTGGAAAGAAATGGTATTCAAGCCCTCTTTTGTTCTGTTTTGAATTGGTCTTACAAAACGCTTGGCAGTTGCATAAAACATATGATGAGAAGCCAGTGGATTTTCTGGAGTTTCGTCGACGTGTGGTATGCCATTATCTGGAGACTCATGGCCATCCTCCAGAACCTGGCCAGAAAGGAAGACCTCAGAAGCGTAACACTGACTCACGTTATGATGGCATAAATCATGTGATAGTCAAACAGGGAAAGCAAACACGATGTGCTGAATGTCATAAGAACACCACTTTTCGATGTGAGAAATGTGATGTTGCCTTACACGTGAAGTGTTCTGTTGAATATCACACTGAATAGCAGATGTCACCACCTACTGAGACAACACACATAATTTTAGGCATTATGTACAGTGTAGCAGTGGTTTTGCCTAGTGTTCCACTTTTGGAACATTACATAACAATGGAACATAATAAATTTTTTTCTGTTCAAATTTTTGTTCCTTGGTTTTTTTTCTAGGTAACATAAGAATTTCATGCAAAAATTTAAAAAATTACAACCTCAGACGTAAATGGGTTGAAGATGTTTCCTTAGCACATTGGCTTCCTTTAAATAACAAAGCTGAGACGCAAATGAAGACTAATTCTGCTTCCTGCTCTGCACACACCTTTCATTCTCAGCTCTGAGCATAATTGTCTGCATCAGTCTTAATTTACTCCATGAGATCTGCAGTCCTAACTGAGGGTATTTCATCTGCTCAGATGTGCCAATTAAGTTTACCCAGATAGACTATAAAAAGGCAGATAAGAAAAGTAAAACACGAAGTATCTCAATTTAGCAAATTAGACTAATCTGTGAGGGATTCTTAGCTGCCTGAAATAGAAAACCTATTGTACTACAGAATGCAAACTATATTAAATACCCAGCCTAGTGCCTGAATATATTTTTAAAAATCAAACTGTACTCATTGTGCCTCTTGTCAAATTTCTTAGATGGATATTGCAATAGGTAGAGAATGATCCTGAGATTGAAAGGTCACTCTGTATTAAGAATGATTTAACTGTATGGTTTGTTAAATCATAGACTTAACAACTGCAGACTGCGCTGTGTGCAGTGACCCTTGCAACATAAAAATATTACGATAAAGCAGTAAGGTCTCTTGAATTTTGAGCACCTTGCTGTGTGACTTCTTGAAGTTTTGGAGATGGCATGCTTATTAATATCTCAGGCTACTAGTATTTGAAAATTCCCATTAATATGTATATTCTGTCCCTTTTGTGGGTTGGTATGGGCAATTGTGTACGTTGATTTGTCTGGTATAAAATGTATATTATGTGATTGTTCAGCCTAGATTACAGTCCAAAGAACTGCTAAATTCATTTTCCTGTTACTTGAAAAAGTTCGCAGGGGTATATTGAAGAGTGAGTTTTGACTTACCATGGACAATATTGAGGTGGGGAAGGAATCATGTTATTGTACAGAAATGAAGGCAGTCTTTCCCTTCTTTAAACCTTAGTCCTGATGGTTTTTTTTTTTAAGACAAAATTTGAATTGAAGTTTTAGAGTTTGGTTTGTTCTTGTGCAATTGCTTTCATTCTGTGGCAGTTAAAGAGGACCCTTCTGCTGGCACTGTGAGAAAAGGAGTGGTACTAGGGAGTTGGGAAGATACTTTTTGAGAGACAGTGTTATGTAACAGATAGGAATATAGACTCTAGAACCTAATTATCTGGGTTTGAGTCTTTTCCTTAGCTCGTTGGTAATCTCGGAGAGCTTCCTTTATCTCTCCCTGTCTGCTTTAACTGTAAAAAAAAAAAAAAAAAAAAAAAAAAAAGAATTACAATAGTATTGATATAGTTTGGCCTTTTGTCCCCACCCAAATCTCATCTTGAATTGTAATCCCCGTGTCAAGGGAGTAACGTGATGAGAGGTGATTCGATTATGGGGGTGGTGTTCCGCCATGCCATTCTCAAGTTAGTGAGTTTTCACGAGAGCTTATGCTTTGAATAGTGGAAGCTTTTCCTGTGCTTGCACTCACTTCCTCCTGCCACCCTGTGAAGAAGGTGCCCTTCACCTTCCGCCATGATTGTAAGTTTCCTGAGGCTCCTCAGCCATGCCGAATTGTGAGTCAACAAAACCTCTTTCCCTTATAAATTACCTAGTCTTGGGTATTTACTTATAGCAGTGAAATGGACTGTGAAAATGGACTCATTTATACAGTATCTACCTTATTAGGTTGTAAGGATTAATAAATGTGAAATAAGTAAAATAGTGTCTGGTACACAGTGTCCCTGTCAGTCATAATTACTATTTGCTTTCTGAACCAATTAAAAAATATGTATGTATGTGTATATATATAATCTCAAAACAAAACTTGTCCAGAGCTAGCTGACTTTCCTTAAGGAGGCAATATATTGCATAGGGGATAGATGCCACGGGCCATGGAGTGTGTGCCAGAACCTCACCTAGAAGCTTTGAGGTCTTGTGTATCCTCTCACCTGTAAGATGGGGATCATAGCAGTATCTTCTTCACCCGTGATGATACATGTAAGATATTTGGCATATATCAGACACTTGGTAAATATTAGCTATTCTTGTTACTCACATGCCCACTAGCTAAAAGTTAGGACGAAGATTCCACCAAGCCAGTAAGATGCTTGAAACAAGGGTCTGTGAGAACCGTAAAGGAGGGTGTATAAATATTGATACATATGAAAAGGCGACCTTTCACAAGTAAAGGCAGTTTAACAATTGATATTACAGGTTGATCATCCCTAGTCCAAAAATCCAAAATCTGAAAATTTTTGAGCAACATGATGCTACAAGTGGAAAATTCCATATTTGAGCTCATATGTTGGGTCTGTCAAAACAGAGCCTTGTTTCATGCACAAAATGTTGTATAAAATTACCTTCAGGCTGTGTGTATGAAACATATGAAACATATGAAACGTAAATGAATTTGTGTTTAGTCTTGGGTCCCATCCCAACATATCTCATTGTGTATATGCAAATGTTCCAAAATCCAAAACACTTCTGGTCCCAGGCATTTTGGATAAGGGTTATTCAACCTATAGTAGGCATAGTAAAATCATTAGCTGTTACAAACTTTGTTTTATTGATGTTATGCTTCTGGTACCTTTCATTTTTGTTAATAAGCTTAAGGCCCACTTAATGATAAATAGTCTATAAAAATATAAGTACCATGTCAAGATTGGGAAGAAATATAATTATTTCTCCTTTGAGCACACTAGGGGGCACTAGACATCTGTCTAGGGGATGTCTAGAACCTGCAGCATGCCCCTTGGTTCTAAGTGTAGGTATGTCAAGATTGCAGTGTCATTTTTCACAGTTGTATTCTAAGGTAGATGTACCAGATCATTCTCTGTATCTCTTCTGTGTCTTCTCTTTTGGCTTGATTTCCAGACTTTTTGCCGTCCTGGATAATAGGATGTCCTCACTGGAATGTCCTATCAATCTTGACTGACCAGTATGGAGTGAGCTAGCATGACAGTCTTCTATGTTTGGGGCCTGAACTGAGCTTCTGCTGGCCCAAGATTGCAAGAGGTGTTTTGACATTTGTTATTTTTTATTCACATTTAACCTGCAATTAAAATTTATCAAACTTTTTGTGTAATCTGCCAACTATTACAAGATAGCATCTGAAATATATGTAGTTTCCAAAGTATATTGTATGTACATTATTTCATTTAGTCCTCATAAAAAGTCATTTGGCTCATTTTGTGGTCAAGGAGGCAGATTCAACAATGTTACATGGCCTCCCCTTACCAGTTAAAGGCCTGTAATGCACCTAGGTCTTTTGCCTACGTTCAGTTTTCAGCTCTCTGTAATTATCTTAAATCTGTGTCTGTTGCTGGGTTCTCCTCTAGTGGTCACCACCGGAGCCCGACAGGGGCTTTAGGAGTTAGAAAATGCCCTGATGGGTCAGGTATGGTAGCTCATGCCTGCAGTCCCAGCACTGTGGGAGGCAAGGCAGGTAGATCACTTGAGGTCAGGAGTTTGAGACCAGCCTGGCCAAAAAGGCAAAACCTATCTCTACCAAAAAATAGAAAAATTAGCTGGACATGTTGACACACACCTGTAGTCCCAGCTACTCCAGATGCTGAGGCATGAGGATTGCTTGAACCTGAAAAGTATAGGTTACAATGAGCCAAGAATGTGCCACTGCATTCCAGCCGAGGTGACAGAGTGAGACACTATCTTAAAAAGAAAAAAGAATGTGCCTTGATGAACAACACACTTACTTTGTTTTATTTGGTTGCAACTGTGACTTTTTCATGTATAGATTAAAGAAAAAAATGTAAGTGGAAACATCAAAAACACTGTTTCCTTAGTAATGTAAATATAGCTTAGGGCTAGACTTTTTTCACATCATAAGAATTCTTTAAAGAAGGTGTTTCTTTTGCCCAGCCTTCCCCACCTGGTCCTGGGGAAGGTTGAGACCAAACTCAGGGCTCTTGGTTCATCCCATCACCTGGTGTGCAGAAACCAAACTCCTTACAGAGCAGGCCTACTGGTGGTGAACCCGAAAAATGGAGCTCAGACTTAAATCACTCACACAATTTTTATTTTATTTATTTACCTTTTTATTATTCAAGACAATGAGCTTTCCTTCTCCTCCTCTCTCTCTTTTTTTTTGTTATAAGATTCTAAATTAAGAGCTTCTCTGATGTTTCAGCCACCCTGTGTTATGGGTCATTTTTTATAGTGGACCATAACCATCTTTATCTAGTGGGCAGAGCTAAGAGCAGTGCTTTAAAGTCATATGGGTAGAAGGCGCAGGAAATGGAACAAGAAGTAGGCTCTAAATGAGATAGAAAGTTTCCAGAACCCATTTCTGGATGACCTCATTTGACCATTTTCAAGCCATGCGTCTCTGTCTCTATCTTCCTTATCCCTAACCCAATTCTGAACTTCATTCATTCAGCACTATTGTCTGCCATGAGGAGGCATTATACTAATCTCTAATGCTGGAAAAATGTCTAAGATAGTGTGTGTCCCCAGGCGGTTTCCAGTACAGTGGAGGATACTGGTATGGATTTCACAATATGCTACACTTGATGGGCAGTATAGTAGAGATCACAGGTGTGTCCAAGATGTCACCAGGTTAGGAGGGCCCTTAGAAGACAGGACACTTAAGTCTGGTTGGTCAGGGGAGGTTTCTGTGAGAGGTGATTCTGCATGAGTGAAGGTCTGACAGGTCTGCTGAGTGGGTGAATGTGTGTGTTAGGAGAAGAATTTGGGGACAGTATGGGAATGCAGGTACACAGAGATGAGGAGGCCGCATACATGGTATGGTGCAGTGGTAGCTAGCTTTGTCTTTCCACTTATTTTGAACATCCTTGGAATGCTGGAAATTCTTCTAAAATAAATGAACTTTAAATGGCAGCAGCTAGCTTTCAGGGTTCCATTGACAAGGCACCCTAATAGGTTACAACGGGAGGAAGCATTGTTCCTGGTGTAGTTCAACTGGCTGTACTGGGTCTGAGTTGCTTCTGACAGATGATTATTGCAGCCTCAGCCCCAGGCCCCACAGCCTGGGCCAGATTCTCATTCCTACATGAATGTAGGGAAACCAGGGAGTGTTTTCTCTGTCTGCATCTGACTGGAATTGTAGCTTTATGTTTGTTCCCGGCTTCTCTTGTAATTGGCTGCCAGTGGAGTTGACAGCAGGCTGAAACTGGCAGTTGTGTGAGGAGCTAGAAACACAGCCAGTGAACACCATGCCCACCACTTCGTTTTATGTGGCTGCAGCTGTGACTATTACGTGTGTGGATTTTTTAAAATGAGAGAAGAGAGAACATGAAAAAGTTATTTCTTTTCTAAAAGGGTAAATATTGGACCATTTACTGCCCTCTTCTGCTTTTTCTCAGTTAACTGGTCTACTTATTGAAATGACAGAATTTAGACATTTTGAGGTCATTTCTCATTTTTAAGATTTCATCTCACTTGGCTCAGATCTTAATACTGACCCTACCAATTTTAAGTCAATCTGTATCTATTTTTGTTACCATCATATAAAAGACTGCCATACTTAATGACAGTTTACTATTTACAAATTTGTGACAGAATTCTTAAATTGAGATATTCCAGCAGGTACCATCTGAATACTAGGTGTCTTTACTCCAATGGTGAGCACATTATTTATAATAATTTACTGAGCATCTGTTTGATCAGCTATCATAGTTTCAGTTCAAGTATACATGTTCAGGCAGTTCTGTTAAACAGTTGTGATACATTGCAATATGCACATTATTTTGGGCCACATATATGACCTGTTTTCTTTCAGTGAACATAGCAATAGTATCTGCTGCAGGGTTGTCGTGAGGATTTCAGAAAGTGTATGTGGTTATATATAATACTACATTAGTTTATTAAGCACTGCTTTTTCTAGGCTCTGTGCTAAAGTGCTTTACATGTGACTCCTTATTTAATCCTTCCCAGAACCCAGTGAGGTAGGCGCTGCTGTTCTCCCCATCTCCCAGTGGAGGAAACTTAGATGCTGACGAAGTTAAGTTACTTGCTGAGGGTTTGTGAGCTAGTAAATGGCACCAGGATTTGACTCCAGCCAGTCTGAGCTCAGACTTTTGTGCCTGGGCCTGCATTTTTGCATATGTCAAACCTAGTGTGTTCATACACAGAATCCGTTTGCATCTGCTGGCCAGATAGACTGCTCAGCCTGCCAGACTGCAGGACAAGTTGGTTAGACATGCTGAAGAGAGTACCTTTCAGTCTCTTGGCAGCGTCTGGGATGGGGAAGTCATATTTCTGTGTAGGTGCAGATGAACTTGGTTCTCTCCCCCTTTCCCTAGTGTGCTGTGGTGTACTTGTCAGTCCCCACTTCAGCTGTGCTGCTTCAGTCAACCCTCATCAGATAGTCAGGTCTGTTTTGGCTGCAAGCTGCATGAGAAAGTATTGCTTATGGAACAGAAGAATCTCTTCGTCTTAGCTCTGTTTTATAACCATGGTGTTTTCTGTCTTTAATACGTATATAATTCTACTGGGGTGATTTGTCTTCACAGTGATACAAATGCTTGCAGGCAATAATGATTTTCCCCACCACCTTTAGTCATCCTTTAGCCAAATTGAATAAATGTTTGGCCCTTTCCATCTTTATGAAGCGGAAGACACTAGAATGCAATCGTTTCTGTAGTGGCTTATGTGGTTTCCTAGGTGCTGAGTTCTGTGGTGACAAGATGCCTGTATATTTTAGGAGGGAGAGAGGAGAAGGAAGCTGAACCTTGCCGATGCAAAGTGATGTGGTGGGAAATTTAACAGCCACAAAGATTGACTGGGTAAGTCTAAGGAAATGGTTGTCATCTATCAATGAAGTTTAAAAAGTGATACCCCTGTATGTAAAATATTTAATGGCCTTGTTGTGCTAAACTTCTAAAGGCAGTATCTCCTGGTGTTTTTATTTCTCCTTCTGTAAAATTATCTTGAAGAAATTGCAAAGTGAAGTATGTTTAAGTGGCTATGATTCTTCCAAGGTTTATGTTATCTACAAGTTTGATAAATACAAGTATCCTTTGTTATGCAGAAGTTTGGCTATGAGTTTTCATAGTAAGAGTTTTGATACTGAGGACTATCTCATTATGATGGCTGAATTTCAGAGTGGCAAGAATTCAGAGATGTGTATCAGGAAAGTGTATATATATCTGTTCAGTTTCTAAGTTTTGATAGTAAGGGTTACCTACATGCCAGGGCTTCTCAGCTTTGACATTATTGACATTTGAGACCTGATAACTTTTTACTGGGGGGGTTTGGAGGCTGTTCTGTGTGTTGTAGGATGTTTGGCAGTGAACCTGGACTCACCTGCAAGATGCCAGTAGTTGTATATCCTCCCGACTCCTTCTACAGTTGTAACAACCAAGAATGTCTCCAGGCATTGTCAGATTACCCCAGGGTGGGGTTGAAGAGACAGAATTGCCCCTGTCGAGAACCACTGTTGTACACCATTACATTTAGCTAAATTTGTAAATAACAGGAAACTCAGAAGACTCTTATAGCCCCATAGAGATACTTTATTGTGTCCATTGCATGGAGATTATTTTTAAGGAAGAAAAATACTAATAGAGAAGAAGAGATTGCCTTTAGAAGTTAAGCACAAAAAGGACATTAAATTTTTATATAAAAGGGTATCACTTATTAAACTGTTGTTAGATGATAGCTATTTCCTTAGGCTTGGCCATATACTGCCTCTTCCATTTGCTGTTCTTCTCTGGAAATGACCAACAGTGCTTCATTGATCTTATTTATAGGTCCTTTACTACCGTGCAGTGCAATTTCAGATCACCAGTTCTTATTGATCACAAGTAAATTTCAGCTGGCCCTTCCTTTTATTACTTTGAAGAGTTGAAATTTTCAACAGGATAAGAATTTTTCAGAAGATGTGCTTTAAGGTCCACCAGCAGCTACCTAGATATTAGCATTGGCTTCTGTGCTGGTTTTGTAAAGGATACTGGAAAACATACCATACCTCTGGCCAGGCAGTATGTGTAGTATTACCCTTCCATTTTCTCTTGCCTTCCCTCAGCCATTCTCTCTTACTCTTGCATAGTCAGTGGCAGATAAATGCCTTCTTATATGTGTTGCTGCTCCTATTTGCTTCCTGTGAGTTGTTTATTATAGTTTGAAAGCATTTCTCTGTATTGTTTTATTCAATTTCTACCGTTTTGTGAAATTCAGAGCATCAGTTGTACCATGCTGAATGAAAAACTCAGCTTTTTATTTTGAAAGTGTATAGAACTTGAGGCTGACTTTTTTTTTTTTTCCCACTCATGACAACTAGGGTCCATTATAGTTACATGAATGCAAAATTAGTCTGGTTAAATGGCTGCACCTTTTCTACAACCTTGGTATATTGCTAAGACTTTCAGTTTTTTAGATGACTGACATTTCTTCTGTTGCACATACGTGGTGTTACCCTTCTGAAATATAAGGGTTCACCTTATTTTATATCTGAAAGTGTCATATTACTGAATTTGTAACTTAGATTTTTTTCAGTGAGCACATTTTTTTGAGTGTTAGTACTATTAGTGCTTGTATATTGCTGTTACCTCTTCCCCCAGTTAAGTAATCAGTAATGTGAACCTAATACAGCAATTCTGACCCAAAATTTGCCTTGTGTTCAAGGTACTTAGCTGTTTTATGCTGTGACTATCATATCTTTAGCACAGAAATAGTAATTATAAATAAAATCTATTTTTGTTACACAGTATTGCTGTTGTGGAGACAATTATGTTGAAATTTTTACTGAATCTTTTCTAGAACTAATTTCATGTCTTATGAACTAGCAGAGAAATTTTCCCTTAGGGTATGCCAGAAGAGGAGCAAGTAGTTTTGATAATGAAATGAGACCTTAAAGAAATATTTCTAGAGCAACTATAATAATTTACATAAGATATGAATTGAGATGGCTGGAGAAGAGAATTGTTTTTCCTCTTTGAATGTCAGTGTTTTGGGTAATAATGGCAGCAGAAACCTAAGAGACCATTCTAATTTGCCTGCTTTTTTTTTCTTGTACATTATCAGGCTATCTTTTAAAATCTGTCTTGTTATTAAAATAATGGAAATACTATTTTTATTTTTATGGTAGAAGATGGAATAAACTGAGACTACAGGACAAAGAGAAGCGTCTGAAGCTGGAGGACGACTCGGGGGAAAGCGACGCGGAATTTGATGAAGGCTTTAAAGTGCCAGGTTTTCTGTTCAAAAAGCTTTTTAAGTATGTACCATGTGTTCTTTCCTATTTGCTTTCAAGCCATTATGTACAAATTAACATTTTAGGAATTACGTAGTAGTTACCTGTGGGCCCTGAAGGTATTTGCAGCAATTTATTGCAAATACAGATACTGTCAAATGAAATTTTAGCCACACACTGTTCATTAAAATTAGGTAATAATAAATTGACTAAAGGGTGCATTGGGTATGTTTGTAAACTGATGAATCTATATGGACATTTCTCAGCAGACTAAAAGCAACACGTTTAAAAGCCATCGATGTTTAATAATTTTTTTGTTCTTAGTAATTTTAAGGTGCCAAACTCCTAATTTCCTAAATCAGATTAATAGGAATATTTGCATATTGAAATCAGTATTAAGAAGGGTTTTTTTTTTCTTCTATGTGGAAATAAAAAACTCTGAGGTATTTTGAGTGTCTTATATTGTACCTGAGGGTATAATACTTTTGAACTGACCAAATGTGCATCTAAATATTTTATGTAGATGTCATTCTAAAGTCAAAAGAGAAGATATGGCAACACCTTGAAGATTAAGTTGCTATTTGAAGTTAAGTTTCATGTGTAAGTGGCCAAGCGTTGCAGATGACCGGATGCTCCCTGATAGATGCGTGCACGTCGTCTGTGAGGGCTGGCCAGTCTCCCATGGTGAATGTAAATACTGAGGAACATTTTCAGTCTCATCACTCCTGGGATTTACTTAACAAGATGCTTTTGGAAGGCTTCTTAGATGCATTTAGGAAGTTAAACCATTACATAGCTTCTCTCTCTTTTGTATCATCAATTTGTAGTTGAGAGCAGGATGCAAAGTTCTTTCTTTAAGATGATTAAGTTTAGTCTTCTTTATAGATTCAGCTGTCAGCCATGCCCTTAACTTGTGGAAGAAGTCTACTTAAAAACAGCATGTTCTTTATAGTTTCTCTCAAGGAGTTTATGTTATAGTTTTATTTTTTCTCTACGGGGGGTAGTGGAAAGTGAAGAGTAGTTATTTTATCCCACTAAACATTATAGAAAGCCATACTCTAAAGATGTGAAATGACTTGATGTGATTGCCATAACTGGATGAGGAACAACCATGTAGAGAGAGGTTGAAATCCTAATCTTTAATAATATTTGCAGAGAGGTGGTTGCTTTGCTTATTGCTTCTCTCAAGTGAAAATTAACTACAGAAAGGTAAATAAAGACCACATTTATTGGCAACTCTGTTTTCTCTAAAGTGATTGTTTATTGAGAAACAGGTCAAATAGCATCAGTGTTGTACTAGCAAAAGGATAGCCAAATTATAGATTAAATTGATTTCAAAAAGACAGGATACTTCTTTGTGTGTGTAGTAAGTGATTTGGCAAATATCCTCAAGGATCAAGTTGAGTGTGCATTTTCGTATAAATGTTGGATTTTCTAGCAAAGATATTTCACAATTAATATAAATAAATGTTGCTTACTAAATGTGTTTAGAATTCAGTATATTGACAAAACTCTTTAATATAAATAATATATATATTTTAAATTAGCCTTAATTGCACATTCCTGTAAAGTATTATGTTGTTTTAATCTCTGCAAAAATAGGATTTTAAATATTTTATAAATGTCATAAAACTTCTGTTCATTTTCTTCTGCTATATAAAAAGAAGTAATAGGATTGATGGAGTCTACATTTTTTTATGATTATGTTTTAGCAAGACCAATTTAATTTTAAACTGTAGGTATATTTTTTTTACTGTGTTTGCTGCATTCTGTGGAATTGAATTAACTGGGTATAGAGTTGTACACGAGGGAGTCAAAAGGTACAATTAGCCATTTAAGTACTGTTTTCTGCAAGATAATGTTTAACTTTTAAATTTCTGTTATGAAAGTTTGCCCAGCAAGTACACTTCTCTATCTAATTAGGAGTCAAATGACAAATGTCAATCTTTTGACCTTACTTTCAGCCACACTAGTAAATGTAATCTTGGATTAGTACGGCAGTGCCAAGGTACATCAGTGATCTCTGGTCACATTGTGATGCTTCAGTCTCAAGGGATAGCAGAATAGATTTTTTAATGTTTTATATTTATAAAATCTTTAACTGTCCCTAAAAAGTAATTTTTATATGCTTTTCAAAAATTTTGAAAACTAGATTCTATAAGATGTTTTTATTTAAACTAATTGTTTTATGCTGTTTATTATTAGGAAGGTGAAACAATAAAACCAAAGTCATTTAGTGGCACAGCTGAAACCTGAGCTCAGGTTCCTAACTCCTCATCTAGCAATACCAGCTATGTATACCATCTACCAACTGTGTGGCTGGTGCTTTTAATCTGCAAGTGAATTTTCTTTAAATACCATCTGAGGGCCTTCATGTGTTGTGTGGAAAGAGCCACTCTTCGCTATCTTTGTAACTATCCCTAGTTGTTGTGGATCCTGCTAGAGATATGACTTACATGCTGCCTAGTAAGATATTTTTTTAATGTCATTTTTGTAGTGCTGATCATCTTATAAACACACACATGTTGTTTGAAAGCCCTTGAAGATTAGATTTGTAGATGAGGAAACACCCAGCACATTGTTTGCTGCCCCTCCTGGGCCACAGAGAATCTAGTTGTCTTAACCCCTTCCCAAAGTCCTTCTGGGATCCTATGCTGTCTACCATTCCTTTAATAATTTCTCAATTGCTCCTCTCCAGATTCTTCCCACTTTAATTAAGTTGATAAGCCCCAAGCAAAAAGAGTTGCTGGACCCATGTAGGATGGAGACAGTATGGTATAGGAGTAATACATCAGAATGATCACTGGGAGATTTTGTTCCTTGAATGAAGGAGCTGGTCCCATGGTTGTTCTGTATCTCACCAAAAAGAGGTCAGTTGACTAGAATTTAGTGATTCTGGAAACTAATTGCACATCAGTTTTTTTGGAGAGCTTTTTGCAGTATGTGTTTTTCAAAAGTTGAGATTATTCTAGTGTAGCCAATTCATGAACCAGCTTTTCTTCTAAATCATGGTTTCTCAACCTTGACATAATTGACATTTAGGGCTAAATAATTTGTTGCTGTGGGACTGTCCTGTGCAGCGTCAGTTATTGAACAGCTACTCTGGCCTATATTATTGCACTTCTTCGGTTATAACAAAAATGTCTTTAGACATTGCCAAATGTCCCACAGGGAGAAAAATTACCCCTGGCTGAGAACTACTGGTCTAGGTCATTTCCAGAATCACTTTGGAAACATACAATTCTGGATTTCAGCTCTGGCTTGCTCATTGTTTTTTTTTTTTCTAGCGCTGTGAACTTTGGCAAATTACTTAACCATTCTGAGCTTTTGTTTCCTAACTATAAAGTGTGCTGATAATCTCCTTTGTACAGGTTGATTGTGAGGCTGTGTCCAAACCACCTGGCCTGGTGCCTCTTCGGCAGTCAGCTCCTTAAGTAGTAGCCATTATTCTCTGATTGCATACCACATATTTTTGGAATTTGTCCTTCTTCCCAAATTAAATGATCTTGTATCTGTACTAGACTTCATCGTGTTTTGATTTTTTGTCCTTTTCTCCAAGGTGCATATCCAGTGTGTGTATTATAATTTGCAAACTTAATAAGCAGCAAAATTCTCATTCAGAGTTTTCCTTCTGTGATAGGTAATAATGGAACAGCTAGAGTCAGACTTCTAGAATTGCTTTGCAGAATACTGGGAGAAAGTTAATTATGACATATTTACTGAGAGGAGATTAAATAAAACCAGTTAAACGAGCTGAAGTCCAAAATGAAATTTTAGATAGACATACTAGGTGCCAGATGGTAAATATTTGGGCAGCACAACAACAAAACCATCTTCTTTTAAGATGGGTAGCCCCTTAGCCTTGACATTTTATTTGGAAAAAAAAAAAAAAAAAACCCTTAGCTTCCATCATCTTTTTATTTATTTATTAGAGATTGGGCCTCATTCTGTTGCCCAGTTTGGAGTCCAGTGGTGCAATCATGGTTCACTGCAGCCTCAACCTCCATGGCTCAAGTGATCCTCTCACCTCAGCCTCCCAGGTAGCTGGGACTACAGGCACGTGCCACCACTCCAGGCTAAAATTTTTTTTCATAGAGAGATGAGGTCTTACTGTGTTGCCCAGGCTGGTCTCAAACTCCTGGGCTTAAGTGATCCTCCTGCTTTGGCTTCCCAAAGTGCTGGGATTTACAGGCATGAGCCACCTCATCCAACCCATCATCTTTTGATTCAAGTGACTTTTGCTTTAGATTTTTTAACTTGACATATAATCTTCATACCATTCCCTGTTGTTAAGTGTTTCTTCCATTCAGAAAGATTTTTTTGTATTTTTACTTTTTTAACTTTATTTTTAGGTTATTAAACATATCACTGATGGAGAAAGAAAAATATCAACTTCTGTGTTTTGCAGGGGTGGGGGTAAATTATTTCTCTTTGACCCATATTCCTTATTTAAAATCTTAATAGCTATGATCTTTTTGTACTTATGGTAAAATCCCTGAATCAATTTCTGCTTTGAAATATTAAAAAGACCTTTTGTATTGTTGGGTCTTTAAACTTCTTTTTTGCATCTGCTAGTAATATGACAAAATCATCTGTTATGTACTAATTTCGAGAGCAGCCCTATTATTTAGACTTGTTTATGGCCTTAAAATTTAATTTTTTCTAGTATAAGAGAATGTGATTACGAAGTGATTTTTCAACAGTATAAGCTGTAGGTTGTGGTGTTCTCTGTCCTGCTTTTTTGAGGCTTTTCAGATTGATTGCTTTTTTTGTAGAAAAATTAATGGAACTTTATGAAAAATATTTGGGATTTTTTTCCCCCAGAAAATGAGTAAAAAATAATAAGTTTATGCTTGTTTACCAAGCTATTTCTAATGTTGAAAAGAAAGGAAATAGTCTCTAATTACCCTATCCATCAGCTTAATTAGAAATGTGTTAATGTTCTGTAAAGAAAAATTTGTGATTTTATGCCTAGGTGATCAAAAATGTATGACCTTATAAATATAATACTCATGTAAAACACACATCCCGCATGTTTCTCTGACTGGTACTAGAACCTAGCCAAATGATTAATTCATGAGTACTTTCTGTTATGATCTGTATTATCCACCATTTGCCATTTTCTCTTTTCTTATTGGTGTTTGTTGTTGTAGGTACCAGCAGACAGGTGTTAGGTGGCTGTGGGAATTGCACTGCCAGCAGGCAGGAGGAATTCTGGGAGACGAAATGGGATTGGGCAAGACCATCCAGATAATTGCCTTCTTGGCAGGTCTGAGCTACAGCAAGATCAGGACTCGTGGTTCAAATTACAGGCAAGTGCTCCTCTGCAGACTGTCAGTCTGTGGAGCTCAATTAATATTTCATCAGATGTATTGCTGTGGAGGAGGGTCTTGTGAATTATTGATGACATTTCAATTACAATATTCCTTTAATTCTTTTAGTGGGGGACATCAAAGGAAAAATTTTACGAGACAATGGAGCTGTAGGGCAGGAGAAATTAAACATGTAACACTTTTAATGAATTCCAGGCATTGATGCTTCATTTTGCAGATGAGCCCCACTAGATATTTTGGGTCAATATGATGTCTAAGGTTAGCTTCTACAAATGGATTGTTTACAAACTCAATTATGTTAATATCAATAGTTTACACAATATGGAATTTTAAATTAGACATAATACCTTTAGTTCCATTTATTAAATTTTACATTAAAATATTTGTTCTGGCAGGAGACCAGGTGAGCATTACAGTAAGTACAAAGTCTATTCATGGGGAGAGTTGGAGCTTTGAAGAAGCCATTCTCCCTAATTTCCTTTATAATGAGTGTGCATGATAGCATTTCTAGATAGCTCTCTCTCTCTTTTGTTTTTGAATGAAGTTGTTTGTCTGATCCCTGTGCTTTCTGCCCTTCCCAATCTATGAACTTTATGTAATAAATTCTAAGGCTGAAACCTAAGTGACTACCTAAAATGGTAGGAAACTGTTTAGATGTTAATCTTTATTCTCTTTAGAAATTTAGATAAACTATTAAGGCTTTTGTATTCCAGAAGAAATAAGCATTTAATCTATTTGGTATGGTAGTACTGAAATACTTTATTTTGAAAGACAGTACTATGAGCATTTCCATATTTAAACTGTACATTAACTTTATAGAAATTGGTGTTGGTAAAAATATTGATAGGTAAATTATGTAGGATATTTCATCGTCTTGAACCTCCTGTGTTTCAGTAGGCTTATGTAAAGAGTAAGAGCAAGGTATTTACCAGAGAGGTGTGCCCTGGAAACCTCAGACACTCACTACGTGTGATTCGTAGATACCTTTACAGTAGCGTCAGTGTGCCTACAGTCAGCAGCTGCCGAAAGTTCTTTCTACATTCCAGCTCATCAGCAGCAAAATGCTTAGTAGAGAACCAGATACGAACCATAAACTGAGTCAAGATTACGTTTCTTTAGTCTTTAGAGTTTAGTGTTTTGTTTTTATTTCTTACTCTTTCGTGAACTTCGCAGATCAGTACTTCATGTGTGGAGTGTTTGGAGTCTTAGAATATTTTAGAATCCCAGTTGCATTTATACAGATGTAGGAAGGGAAAGAAAACACTTGGAGATTGTTGAACGCTAAACATTTTGTTGTTGTTGTTACAAGGAGGTTATATTGAAGTGGGAGATTTTTTTCAAATAGGAGAATTCTATTACATTTTGCTTGGAAGCATGTGACAACATTCCAGACCAAAGGAAAACTCAAAGTTGAAAGTGGGCTTTTAGTGTTGTCTTATCTATGACTGTTATTTTTTAAATATACTTTTTCTGTTTTAAATAAAATGCTTTTTCTGTTTCAAGTAAACTCTTTGGTTGGTTTGTTTTCTGCAACTCTGTTGGGTGTTTTGGTAACTAGACTACCCTAAACTCCTCCAAGTGGTTTCTAGGACTTTTTCTTTCCTTAAATGATTTTTGGGATTTTCTTGTTTCCCATTTCTTTTCTTTCCCTTCCTGTTATCATGAAACTTCTGTGGAGTCTAATGCTCAGGTCCTAGGAAACCTAAAATCATCCCTGCAGTGTAGTTTTGATCAAAATATTAAAACATGCTCTCTTGAGTGTTGACAGTCCTGCTAAGAATGAAGTCAAGGCTAATAATGAATAGTAGCTGTAATCAATTAACTATCAATGTTTATATCCACTTCTCTATAATGAAATAATTTGGCATATTGGACTATAGCCCAGATTGTCTTTATTAAGATGGTATTGGTGGAAGTGGCTTGCAAGAATGTGGTGCTGCACCACAAACACCTGGGCTCCTCATAAGTAGAAGTTTACAGAGGCGTGTGGTCCCCTTCACTCACATGTGCCATGGCAGACTGGATCACATCTTCCTAACAACTTCATAACACGCCCTCCTCTGGAACCAGATGAACTTGGGAGTTCTATGTATTTATGTCTTACAGAAAAATAACTCTTAAGGTCAAATGAAGTTCTGTGTGAGCTGTTACTGCTTCATTGGCTATGTATATTTCCTGTGAACTCTTACAAACTGTAGAGGGTCCCTAATTGGAGATCATTTTAGTGTTATAATTTTAAGGACCATGAACATTGAAATGGAAACAGTGTGTCATACCAAGAAACTTCATGGTAAAAGAAGTTTGATTTGTTGTTTTTTAAAAATGTATGTTGTATGCATGTTTCTAGAAGATAGTGAAGCATATTATACATGGTTAATAAACATCTACGCTGGTTGCTGTGTTCCCTGTTCATAATGGATACACCACCTTCTTTTCACTTTGCCACTCATATTATAAGGATAGTTCCCTCAATCTTATAATGAAGAGGAAAAAAATTAACTTTTCAAACTTCAGTTAATTTTTTAAAGTTTTGGAATTAGTTTGTTAATTTCTAACATTATTAAAGTTAATAAACTTTCAAGGATAAATATTTTACTTTGTAATTCCTGGTTAAGTTCTGGGTATGACTAGCAGGTTGATGTATTTGACCGTGGAGCTACTGCTTTGCCCTAAATTTGTTAGGTAATCAGAGATTAAAGGAATTCTAGTCTGTTTGGTAATTGATGCTAATCACTGTAATAGACTTAGCCATTTCTCATGTTCATCTCACTGCTATTAAGGGTTGAGAAAGGGTGGTTCAGTTGATGATGTGACTGTTAATGGAGTTGATTGTCCTGCTGTGATCCAGCAACAATCTGGGTCTGCCCTTGGATCTCAACTCAGTGTGAAAATCTCAAAATTTTTCTACTAGAGAGAAAATAGCAGAAATTAAAGGGCATCATGATAATGCCAGATAGATATTCAGCCAGAAGAATGTACTAGAGTCATCAATGTAGCAGTTTGTAGAAGGCATATTATAAAAGAGGAAAAAGCGATGTGTAACCTGAAAAAACATATGCATGTGTTTATGCTTATTTGAATATGAGTTTGTTGTAAAATATTTTGGACAGCTTTTGATTGGTTGTTTTCTAATCTCTGCTAAGTGCATATTGATGATAACTCTTTTATTCCCCTTGGAGGATAGAAAGAAGTTGGTGCATTTAATCCTTTTAGAGAGGATTGCTGCCATGGAAGGGGCCAGGGCAGAGTCTCACTCTCATCAGGGAGTTTGAGGGGCACCTGGATAGGTCCTGCCTTGGTGAGGAGCATGGTCTAGGAATGCCATAGGAAGTGTCGGAATCTGTTGTAGTTTGACCCTTTCCACCCAGATGAAGGACAGGAACGATGACTGTAGCTGGAGGCAACAGGGGTTTCAAAGTAGACAGAGGCGTTTTGTCATGTTGGAGTATAAGGGTAGGTCTCATTTAAGTTAGGGCTTGACCAAAATTTTATTGTTTTTCTATAGAACTACAAATTACTTTTCAGTTGTGTAGTAGATGATTTTTAATATTTTAAGCACTGTATGATTTACTCTTATTTGTAAATTTTTTTTTTTTTTGAGACAGAGTCTGCTGTTGTCGCTCAGGCTGGAGTGCAATGGTGTGATTTCGCCTCCTTGAACGTCTGCCTCCTGGGTTCAAGTGATTCTCCTGCCTCAGCCTCCCATGTAGCTGGGATTACAGGCACCCGCCACCATGCCTAGCTAATTTTTGTATTTTTAGTAGAGATGGGGTTTCACAGTGTTGACCAGGCTGGTCTCGAACTCCTGACCCCAGGTGATCCACCCGCCTCGGTCTCCCAAAGTGCTGGGATTGCAGGCATGAGACACCGTGCCTGGCCAAAAGTTGTTTTAAGTTCAGGAATCATTTATTTCTGAGCTGTAGTAAGAAAATAAAAATCACGTGATTCCCCAACTCTGAAATAATCTCTTTTAACATGTTGATATATTTTCTTCCAATCTTAAAAAATGCTTTAATTTAATAAAGTCAGTATTTGTTAATTGCTTCCTGTTAGGTAGGCATTGAGATCATTTGAAGAAGAGATTATCTCTTCTCTCAAAGAGTTTAGGGAGTATCTCATACAATTACAGTAAAGATGATTTGCGTTCTGACAGGGTTAGTGTGGGGTAAACCAAGGAAGAGTCCTTAACTTATTTATAGAGAAAGGGACAGGGAAAGCTTTGTCGAGGAAGCTGAGATCTGCATGTTGAGTAGAAGGTAGCTGGAGGAGTAAGAGTGTAATCAGGACCAGGTGAAGGTCGACTGGGGGCTGCTGGCCACAGGAGCAAGTGTTAGGATAGTGGCAATGAGAGGTAAGGCTGGAGAACCAAGCAGCCTCATAGGCCGGGTCCAGGTGTTTAGTCTCTGTCCCAAGATCAGTGGGCAGCCTTTAGAGGTTTTGAAGTGAGGGGATGAGGAATTCAGATTTTGCTGTTTGAAATGATGATTCTCGAAGATGCAATAACCCAGATGAGAGAGGAGAGTGGCTGGAACTGGCATAGCAACAGTGTAGAGGGAGAGACATGGCTACTGAAAGGAGTCAGGAGGTAAAAATGATGTGAACTCAGTGTAGGTTGCTCATGGTGAAGAGCAAGCAGGTTGGCTCAAGGATGAGGCCTTGGTTTCTGGTTTGGGCACCTGGGCAGTGGGGAAAGTTCTACGCAGTGGATTGTAAACATGGCGGCAGAGGACAGCCATGTTGGGAAGGATGGTATGTGGTGTCAGTCAGCAGTGAGATATCTAGTGTGTGGTGGTCTGGAGTTCAGAAGAGTAATCTGGGCTGGAGACCTAGATATGGTATTACCAGCATCTAGAATTGAAATTGTGGGAATTAGTGAGAGCATGGGGTTAGTTTATACAGTGGAGTAATGTATATGCATTTTGCTTCCCATAGTCAGCATCTTTGTGGGCAGGAAAACGGAGTGGAGGGGAGGAATGACAGTGTGCAGAGTACAGTGACTCTGCTCCAGGTGTGCGAGAGGAATGCATATGGGCCTGTGGTGCCCTCAGTCAGTCCCAGTTCTTAGTTGCCTCTTATAGCATGAGCTGAGTATGTTGTTGAAGAGGTTGCCACAGTTAGTTTTGACTTCTGCTTAATTTTTGTCTTAAGCACTGACTGGCACCCAAACCCCTGCAAGACTGAAGATAAATTGGCTACAGTAATGGGAGTGTTGCTCCTGGAGATATAAGCTCAAGAGTTTAGGTAAAGGAATTGGTCTCAAACAAGAAAAGGGACACTTGTCTCAGTGTCCCAGAAGGGCAGGAGGAGTGCAGATGCAGATAGGGAATACAGTGTAGGATGTATCAGGGTGTTTGCACCTAAGTGAAACCTGGCCTCAAATTCGGTTAAATGTTCACAAATGTATGGTGTACCAAGAAACCTACAGAGGAGGCGGCTGGTGGGCACAGCATGATCAGCAGCCCAATGTTGTCTTCAGGGACCCAGACCTTTGCCTAAGGCCAGGTCTCCTTGTGATCATTAGATCCCCTTACCCAGTGACCATTGGTCTGTACACGTAGCCAGAGAGACGAGGAGAGAAAACTCTCTCCCAACCTAGAATGTAATTCTTCCTTACACAGTCCGTCAGTCTTGCCAGGCCAGCTTTATGGACTAGTGAGAATTTCAGGGGAGTACCATGCACTGACAGGCTATGGATGAGCCAGGATTCCTGCTCCTGAGCCAGGCAGTGGTCAGAGTCCCATAAGCTGTGTCTGCAGGAAGGAAGAAGGAGGGGCACCTGCGGAAATCAGTTTCTTCAAGAAGAAGAGAGAGGAGAATGGATATTGAGACAATGGCTACAACCAGTTTGTCCACCTATACTTACGTCTAAGGAAATTGGGGTGATTCCATATATAATTTTTAGAAATTATGATGAACATTTTTCCAGATTATTAACTATTCCTCAAAATGATTTTTAATAGTTACATGATATTCCATCTTATTTAACAGAATCTTATAGTATTTTTCATATGGTCCTGTTCTAAGCACTTTAAAGATGTTAACTGATTTAATCTTCATAATAACCCTATAAGATCAATACTGCTATTCGCATTTGGAAATGAAAAACTGAGGTTCCCAGAGGTTAAATAGTGTGCCTGAGATCATACAGTGTGTGCAGAGCTGGGATTCAGATCCAGGCAGTGCCCCTAACCACTGGCCTGTGCTGTGTTAAAGAAATGGGGTAGTTCATTCAGCCTTCCTCTTCGCTATGGATGTAGGTAGTCCCCACTTTTTCCTCTGTATAAAGAGTGCTCCAGCGTGTATCCCAATGCATAAATGTTTGCATTGGGATTGCTGAGTCCATGCAGTGTAAATGTTTGCATTGGGATCACTGAGTCAACGCATGAGTGCTGTTAAGGCTCTTGATTTTGCTGCTTAACTGCCTCCCCACACAGCAGTGCCAGGTTGCACTTGGTCAGTCGGTGTGGTCTTCCCAGCAGAGAACACTCACTGGGATGCTCCTCAACGGCGCTTTCATGGCTTGGAGGAGCAGGCAGGGTGGGGTGGTGTAGTGAGGACAGGCTGCAGGAAGCGAAGACTGGCCACTGGGCAGCCCTCCGTCCCCTGGTAACCATGTCACCTGGGCCATGCCAGCCTTCTGAGCCCCCATCAGTAGAGCATTTCTGGCCTGCTTGCTTCGCAGGGCAGTGAGACCGAAATTCTGTGGGTTGAAAACTCTTGGTAGACTATCAAGCTTCAGACAAATTTAAGATCCTATTATGTTCATTTAGGTTAAGATACACTGTGTAAAAACTTCACTAATCTGTAATAGAAGGGAAAAGAAGAGTATTTTTGTTAAATAGTATTTTTTTCATTTTATGTTATTATAGATGTTATAGCTCTTAATGTATTATTTAATGTTTTCCCTTAACACCTATATCCACTAATTGATGAATGGGATTATAAGAGAGTTTACTTACTGGATTTAACCTCAGTAATTTTTTCTTAAAGAAAATATCGATAATTTTCCATAGATTGCATTTTCTTTTTTGAACTAAGTTTTTTGTTTGTTTGCTTTGGGGATGGTTTGAGCAGTTGATGACTGTATATGCTCTTTCATGGTTGTTTTCTTCTTGGACCTTTGGATGCAGGTTTGAGGGGCTGGGTCCAACTGTAATTGTCTGTCCAACAACAGTGATGCATCAGTGGGTGAAGGAATTTCACACGTGGTGGCCTCCATTCAGAGTGGCAATTCTACATGAAACTGGTTCCTATACCCACAAAAAGGTAACATAATATTTCAATACCTTTTCGTTTTGTTTTAAAGCCCTCCATTTTACATATTTGGTTTTTCTCTGATCCATGTATTTCCCAAATGTGTATTCTTGTGTTTCTTTCCTGCATTTAAAGTTATTATTACTCACTTCCTTCAGAGCTCTGTGTTTTCAGAACAGTTATGATTATAGGCCTTATTGTTCTAACAGTCTGTGGTGGTGTTGTAATGTGTCTGTTGTCCAGCGAACAGGGCACAAGCCTGGCAGTGTGGGTTAGAGTCATAAGTCAGGTGGCTGTATCCAGTAAGGAGAGACTCTGGGCATTAGCAGCTTTAAACAGCTTTAGGAAGGTGGATACAAAAGTAAAATAACAACTCTTAACGGGTAAATGCATTCATTAATATGCTTTTAAATCCTGTTTTTGATGAATGAAAGAAGAAACCTTCCATTTTGAGAATTTTGCAAGTATTGTTGCTTTTAGTTGTATTTTGTTCCCTGAATCCTTGATTGTCACGTATAGACAGTTGTACTTCTTCACTTATAGTTTGGTAACATCACAGTATCAAGAAGGAACTTCATCTGTGCTCCTGTGGGTAGCACAGATATGTTGTATTCTTTTTTTCTTCTCATCTGTCTAACCAACCAGACTGTGAGCTCTGTTGAGTAGGGACTATGTCTGATTCATTTTTGTATCCCAGGTGATTCATAAGCATTTGCTGAATAAATAGTAATCATACAGTTTCACTGTGGATTTGCAGGTTACATTATTGAAGAGAAGCAGCAGTCTGTTAGGAATTAGTTTGTGCTTTCCTGAGTCTTCTGAGCTCTTGAGTGAGTTCTTGGGCCCCAGGAAAGCAGTGCCAGCTGCAAGGGCTATGGAATGTTTGCCTCACGGAGACAGATGCACGGGAACCATGAAACTCCAGGTTTCCTGTTGTATTTGTGTTCGTGGAGAAGCAAACTTTTGATAGAAGTGACTCAGGAAGATCTATGGTTTGGTAGCTCAAATAAGGCGAGACAGAATCTTGCTTACACTGTTACTGTTAAAACCAACTGACCTTGCCCAGAATTTTAAGTGATAAGTGGAAAATAAACTGGAATTAAGATAATTAATAAATTAGGGTAAATGCTGTGAGTTATAAAAAGTGATTTTTAGCAGTATGAAGATAATAACAGTTTAAATTGTTGTGTTGTCAACCTTAAATTGTTTGTCAAACTTTAAACTATCCTGTTATTACCCTTGTAGAACATTCGTGGTTCCTTTTTCCTTTCTGTTAAACTGTTAACATCTCTTAGTGTTTTGTGCTGCCAAATCCTGTAGCAGGACTCATTAGCTGATGTTTGCCTTATAAAGGCAATTTTAAAAACTGTTTTTTCTTTTATTTTCTTTTGGAGTAGTAAAGTCTGTGCATTGGACACCTTCACCTGGATCGTGGCTTACTGCCAGTCCCTTTGTCACCATAGTCTGAAGAACTGCCTTCATGTAAACCACATACATGGACTCATTATGGAAATAGAATTTACAGTGAACTTGGTGAAATTTGCTTCCTTAACTTTGGAGAGCAAACTTATAAGAAGAGATACTTCAGTTTTGGTTGCAGTGGTTCTACCTTCTGAGGTTGTTTTATGTACCAGACACATGCATACATATGATTGTTAATAATTTTTTCAGTGTTTTACAGTTTACCAAGGACTTCAACTTGAAGATTCTTACTTAACTTTTGAGGAAAAGCAGCATTACAGTTTCCTTGTGTTTTTACTCAGACTCTTAACTCTCTTCCTACGGTTCCTTTTCCATTATAAAGTATCTCAGATCACTAAAGATGTAAACTGTTAGGCAAAAGATAGAAAAGATGTACTTTTATACCTGTCAAACCATATTCTTGACTTAGAAGCCCTATATTTTTTACTTTTTATTCGTGTTAACATTGGTTTATTATTTGCAGTGATAACACATTGAAAATGTATTAATAGCTCCTTTCCATAGGCCTTTCTGTTGACATTTCTAAGATTATAACTTTGGTTTCTGGCTTCAGCTGCTGAAGGGGTATTTGCTTCCTCTGTACCTTCTGTCCTCTGTGTATGTGCAGATCTTTGTCACCACACATGCCTACCTGCTAGCTTACACGTGTATTAAATTGCAATAGAGTCTATATTTCTTCTTCTAATTTTAAAAATTCTGTTTATGGTGGTTTGTTCTCTAACTCAGCATCTAATGCCTGACGTCCTTATCATCTGTGATTTCTTTTTGCAGTGGGTGAGCTTTCTGTGCCCACTGGCTGTCTTGTCTTAAATTTAATAATGGTACTCTGACATTGGAACATTCAATACTGAACAGAACAGGGAAGAGAAGAGAATTTCTCTTTAGAAATATTTAAAAATATAATAATGCCAGAATAGTTTTGCTTATCATTCAAGTAGATTATCTTTATTTTCTAAATGCTTTGTTGTAGTTGGTATGACATAAATTTAAAAAAATTTTTCATTTGGAAAAATATCAAATGGTCAGTTTCTCAATAGAGCGTATCTGTCATTCTTCTTCCCCAAATTGCCCTTTAGCTTCCTACCTCTCTTACCCTTTGATCCTATATTAGCTCTGTTAATAGTCTCTGATTGGCAGCATAATTTAGAGTTGTCAAATGCATACCCAGCAGCCATGCAAAAAAATATACAGCTGATAGTTTCAACCACATTATGAAATCTGATAAAGAAATTTTTAGACTCCTGAATCTCTTAATGGTCACTTGAAATCTCATTTAATAAAAGGTCAAGATTTCCTTTTTCTCATTTTGTTTTGTGATTCTTTTTTCTAATATAGAGCAACTTTCATGTGAGTTGATTAATATTTATTTGTTAAAACAACCATAAACACTGCATTTCAGGTGTTTGATGTTGCTAGGGCTCCAAAAAAACATAGGTATGATGTTTTTAACTAACCTTAAAAAGCCAACTGTTTCCTTGGGGAAAGAAAATGTAATAAATGAAGACATAATGAAAGGATGTAGTCTTGTGGTATCTATCCCATTACTCATAGTAGGCGGTGACATCTTTAGCACTGTGTTGTCAAGTTTATTTAATGATTAAGGATCCTTTTTTCAATTTATTGGAAGATACATAATGAGCAATTGCTTATGTTTTGAAACAGTTGTCTCTCTCCTACCCTTTCTTTTTTTCTTTTTTTTTTTCTTTTTTGCTATGTAGGATCTAGTACTATAACATTTTAGATAATGTAAAGAATTTTGTCTCATTTTGATCATGTGGATGCTTAAGAGTGGGAAAAGCAAGAAGAGCATGCAGTTTTAAGTGCATTGGTTTTGTGCTTAACAGGCCAGGGTTCAAATCTTGGATCCATTGTTTTATAACTTTGTAACCCTGGGCAAGTCACTTGCTTTTCTGAGCCTGATTTGGTCACCTGTAAAATGGGTAAGTTTTTATAAGCTTGTGAGGACTTTTTGGGTTAATATGTATGTATGAAGAGCTCAGTGTGGTCCCTAATAGGTAACATTTACTCAGGTAATTCTTGCTGGTGTTAGAAACAAAGAATATTTTGGCCTCTTCACCTCAGTAGTTGAGAAAAGAAAAGATGCTGAATTAGGCATTCCTGATTGACTGAATATGTAGTCTAGAGAGAAAGTACACATCTACTTTATTAAGAATGTTCATGGTCATTCAACATCATCTAGACCTTTTATTCTCATGTTTAGATACATTTGGCCCCAAATGGAAAGAATGAAGTGCAGGGTGTGATTAAAAAGCAAATGACACAAAAACACGGCCATCTGATCAAACTCCCATCACATGTTCTTTAAAAGGGCTTGTTTTCTGAAACACTGGAGCAAAAAGACGTGGCTTTTTAAAAAGCTAGAAGGGAGTAAAAAACAAAAAAAGAGAAAGGGGCCACATTATCCCTCAAGCATCTGAAATGTTTCAGACACATTCTAAGTACACAAATTATAATAGAATGCAAAGTGGTAACATTCCTATTAACTTTAGAGTCAGTATACAGCTGATAGAAGACTTGATAGATGCTGGGCTTATTCTGTGAGGTATATTGTGAAATTATGTTGCTGGAGCCCTTTTTTTCTTATTGTCAGCACAAATCCTTGTTTATTAAAGATTTAGCTTGAAGGAAATTTTAATTAATTACAGGTGCAGTAAATCCTGCCTAGGAAGCGGCTGTACAGTGTTTCCCGTGAATGGCCTTCATGTGCCTGTGCTTCGCTCCTCTCCCCACCGCCTGACAGTGTGATTTATGGCTGTTGTTTTCCACCAGTCCACTGTTTGCCCTCTAGGAGGGATTGGTCTCTTGAGCCTCCATAATAACAGCAGCACTTTCACAGACATCTTTTAATGACAACAGCACTGCATTCAGTAAGTCAGGCTAATTGCAGATGTACCCTATTAATTGCAAAAACTAAGAGAGGTTACATATTTTACAAGCTTTTAATTTGAAACCGCCCGAGATGATTTGTCTTAAGTGTTTGGATAGAGACGTCCATAATATTCAACAATTCACCATTATTGAAACTCCAGTCTAGGCAGCTATAGAATTCTGTGATTGAATCAGATAGATAATAACAAATGGTCTTAGATGGGGTTTTACCCAGTGGCTAAGTGGAGAATATATTTTCAATTGGAACATTTGGAACAATTTCTTGTTCTTTTTATATATGCATCTTTTTAATTCTTGTTAATCATTAATACAGTACATCTTCCTGAACACAGTCGAAGTTTTGTATTTCTTTAGTTAACATTTCTATAGCTGTAATAATATTTAGAATTTTCTAAATAAACTTCAATCCTTAAGCAAGCATAAGAAAGTGATAACATTAAGATAAATACCTAATGTGGATGACGGGGGGATGGATGCAGCAAACCACCATGGCATATGTATACCTGTGTAACAATCCTGCATGATCTGCACATGTGCCCCAGATCTTAATGTGTAATTTAAAAAAAAGCAACTAAACATCATTCCAGTGGTATACATTTAAGAAGCTTGGTGTCTCATTT